AAAAAAAATCATGACTATTAGCCGTTGCAATATTGGTACAACATTTTATTCGCAGAAACAGCCAGTTTGCGGTCAAAACGGCTTTAGGCCTCGTTCGACACAGTCATTTGGTTCACATCCAAAGCTCGCTCTGTATCTAATAGCGTAATAATATCAGTGATTGCATATAACACAACTGGCGTTGGACTGAGTGTACACAACATCGATCGTTTGGCATTGTTAACATGGTTAACATACCGGATATCCCTTTTCAATTTGCATGTAACTAGTGATTCGTCTGCTACTGTAAAGGAAAACATTGTGAAGAAACCTTTATGTCTGAGAGAACCTAATAAGTCTACGAAAGAAATGTGAAATCTGCCAACACGTTTTTGGCATGTGTGGTGATCTATGGCCTAATCCCCCTGGCATTGATTGGAGGACCGTGCCTAGGACTTTAAAAAAATAAATAAAAATAACACAGACTGCGTAAAAAGCGAAATAAAAAAGATGAAACCAAGTTGACGATGGAGACATAGAGGCCCGTAACAAGACATGCAGCTATTTTAAAACATGCAAAATGTACATTTTACTTACAACTTTTAAGTTTTGGTTAGTTAAACATTTTTAGTTTTATTTAACAATTTCTTATCCTAAATAACTTTTTAACATATAAGTTGTATATGTTTTTGTATTTGCCTCATAAAAGTCTGTTTTTCGAAACCTCACTCGATTGATTCCGGCGAAAAACAATTTTTCAAGACACAAATTGGCGCCTTAAATCCGCCATTTTGAATTGTAATAATATATATTTTTGTAATAATAATATCCTAATGGATTAAACTTGACTTATGCCATACCGACATATACGAATAAACAAACATAATACCATATTTAAACTTTTAAAATATGAATCAAAAATTCAAAAATGTTACTATACTTAGTTATAATTTTCTTGTTTGCTGGTTTCGAAACTATGAGTAGATAGATCTATGAAAAAAATATGAAAATCTATTACAGAGTAGTAGGAAACCAGGGAATATATTTTCATATTAATAATATCTGTACAGGCAATTTTCAGTATATTATTCTAGCAAGGAGTACATTACTTCAAGTACCTGAAATTAAATTGAACAATCCTTTTCCATAAAATTACTATGTTCTATGTTAAATCTCTATTTTGTGAATAAAATTTATTTGTTATTCATTATATCTATACATATAATAAAATTGTAACTAAGCCGAATCTGTACATTAAATATTTTTTGGAAAATCTTATTGAAATAGACATTATTATCGATACAGAGACCGAATCTATAGTTTTTAGAATTTTTGTTTGTCTGTCTGTCTGTTACCGCAACTTAAAGTATATTTTTTACCGCGGGAAAATATCTCATTTCTGAGAAAAAATACAAAAACTGCAATGTAAGAGTATACTAATAGGTAAAACCTAAGAATTTGGTTTTTGGTCATCTGAACGCGGGCGAAGCCGCGGGCAATGCTAGTCCATTATATAAAGAGTGCATTTTTTAGATTTAACCCGCGGCATTGCTCGCATGGTAAATGGTGCAAGGATAAAAGTAGCCTATGTTCCTCCCCAGGGTGCAATTTCTCCTTGCCAAATTATATCAAAATCCGTTTAGCGGTTTAAGTATGAAAAGGTAACAGACAGATTTACATCTGTACTAATATTATAAAAGGCAGAGTTTGTTTGTTTGTTTAAACGCGCTATTTCAGAAACTAATTATCCAATTAGAATAATTTTTTTGCCCTTTTATTGAGGAAGGCTATAAGCTACTTATCGTGTAATATATAGTTTACCTGTTCTGTACTAACCGCTAAGACGTACCTAGGGACGAACCCGAGCGAAGCGAGGGTGAGTCGCTAGTGTAGAATATTAGTATGGCTACTATGCGCACTGTGAAAATAATTTATTAGAAAGTCAAAGCTGTATATTCAAATTTAATGAAAATTTAATACAACTCGGCCCAAATTAAAGATTGAAGTATCAAAGGTTTATTCCAAACACGAACTTCTTGTTTGTATCAAACATTTTACTCGAAACACATCACGAACTCAAATACCCGAATAAATAGGATAAATAGATAAATAACAAATAAATATTTATCTTCTTATGAATTCTGAAATTATTCAAAAGAAAGGAGTTGCGATTTCGGCTGAATAAATAAACTTGTTTTCTTTCATAAAACATGAATATGTGAATATACAAACACTACCCTTATATCATCCCTTACGTAAAATTCGAGTGCATAGATATGAATGCTCAGTTTGATCTATTGTGTTATTAATCAGAGATAAGGTGATTGATTTCATTTATGTTATGTACATGTCTATTTTTTTGTAAGCCTTTAAAAGGAGGTTTTCAATTACACTATTTTGTGCAACACGACATTTTTTTTAATTCTATTTTTATCGTTTTTTTTTTTTGGTAAATAATTTGATATATAATTTTGCAACACTTCACTTTTCCTCAAATCGTTACGAAGTCGCAACGCACCGTAATTTTTATGCTGACACAAGCAGTGAGCCTTAAGGGATTTCCCATGGGCAATATAATAAGATGCTTAAACATCAATTTTCATATTTCTTCAACTTTCATTATAACCTCTTTTTAACATTGAGAAACATATACCACCTTTTTAACAGATGATTAAGTGGTGATTTATAATCCTTCGCCCTTAACGGAGTGATACAAGATATCTCACACACTCTACAAGGCGACGTCCCGACTAACGGCCTATCGAGGCAGACCACAACAACCATGGGGTTGCTCCCACAGTCCACTCTGCTATCAGATCAGTACCAAGAGAAACCCTCATGGTACAGCTCTCAGCGACCAATATTTTATGTGACACTATTATTATTATTATTATTTAAAATAATATTTTTATTTAATATAAATATTATTAAATAATATGTATTATTATTATTACAATATTTCATGTCACACCATTAGCAAAGGTTTTCGGACAGCATTAAGATAAATAAAGCGGTTTGATAAAATATAAATAGTTTGTTTGTTTAAACGCGTCAATCTCTAGGACTACCAATTACCGGTCACATTTGAAAAAATATCCTCACATTTTATGGTTTTATTAATGGAAAAAGGATATGGGCTATTTTATTATCATTCTACAACCTTTGAGAGTAGATCAACTACACATAAACTAGCGACCAGTCCTTAGAAAACTTTTTCATTCTTTCGCTTTTACTTTACAAGCTTTACATAAGCCATATTTTTTTGGTATCAAGCTACAATCAAGGCTAAAATTTCTTAAAAGCACATCAGGTATATCAACTTTTAATAGTAGTTCATGAAGTGACAAACCCAATGATTTCAGTTTTTTTTTTAATTTAATCCATCAGTAAAAGAATTTTTAGAATTGAATAAATAGTTCTCGATACCACCCCTTACACACAGACTAACAAACTTACTTTTACCAATAAAACTGCAATCAAAAGCTAATACCTAAATAAAGCCTTATTAATTAAGACATTTAATAATATAGAAGATCTTTAATACGTGAAAAGTTTAAAATTAAAGTCGCTTAAGACTATTTTATATCTTACTTCCTATTTACGATCAATCGTAATTCTTTTATGGTGGCAAGTTTATGACATTGTTAACCGCTGTTCTAGTTATTTTTAACAGCTATATTGACGTTATTTTCTTGAGAAAATTAGACCTTTCATAATAATAAAATATTTTATTCGTTTTATGATATCTTTTTAAATAAGTAAAGCTCCTTTCAAATTTAGTTATTTTTATGCTGATCATGCGCTATATTAGCCCCCTAATCCTGATTGGGGGCTAATATAAAAAGTTAGTGGACCTCGCCAATCGAGTGCAGCCTAGTGGACTTGGCATGTTTTCGGAAACTTGCTTCTCAGATATAAAGGTTTTCTCACGATATTTTTCGTTAGTGTGAAGCAAGTGGTAATCATGTTGAAAATAATTCACTCGTAAGAATATCAGAGGTGCGAGATCCGATTTTGAACCCGCTTCACTTGGTTTCTCAAGAAAACGTGTTACAATTGAGTTTCCATTGCCTTTCCTACCTGCTCCTGCGTTGTGATACTTTTCTCCGTTTTAGCTTACTTTACTTATTATTTTGCATTTATAAAATTAAATGTTAGTAATTTTATGTAATAACAGATTGTAATGAAATTTTATTAATATGTGCTATGATTACGTTTTATTATAATTATTATGAGATATGCTTATATATCTGAAAAGTTCTCTAATATAGATAGCATCTAAATACACGCTTCGATAAGATTAATCTGAATACAATAGTAATATCTATTAATAAATTAAAGTTTGTATGTATGTCTATCATTTTACATTTAGACGAAGTCAGGGTAAGCCACTAGTAACTTCTGTATATGCTACTTGAATTTCAAACTGCATTATTTTTTAATTTCCTCCGGAACCTTTCACGGTTTGGTTGAGCGAAATCGATACGCTTAAAATTAATATCATGCCAAGGCACACGCGCTTGTAATAAAAACGGTGTTTCGTGCTGCTTTTTCTCGTAGTAAGTTTTTAATTTTCCTTTCAATTAAACTTGTTTTTCAATAAACTCAGCTATTTTCTTTATATATAAATAAAAATGTTTAAATTAAAATATTCTATATGCGAGAATAATCATTATTTACATTTTAACTGGGTATTTGATGTTTTCTTCAATAAATAAATATTCTTTAATTATTATTTACTAGCGATTTAACCTCGCTTTGCTCGGGTTTGTCCCTAGGTACATTTTAACGGTTAGTATGGAATAGTTAGTATAACGTATATAATACGTATTAGGTAGGCTACGGACGGACAGACAGACAGACAAAAATTCTAAAAACTATAGATTCGGCCTCTGTGTCGATTATAATGTTTATTTCAATAAGATTTTCCAAAAAATATCTAATGTACAGATTCCGCTTAGTTACAATTTTATTATATGTATAGATAATAATAATAATAATAATATATCATAATATATATCATGTACTATGGTATTATGGATTTGGTCCAGGGTTAGTAAGTTATTGTTATTTTTCTGATAAGAAATTCTCAGTAACAGTGCCAAGTTGGGAAGTTGACGATGTTACACCCCTATACCTCGGAGAGGACATTAGAGCGGTCCTATCAAATTATCGTCTTATATATAATATTTTAAACCTATCTAGACTAAGGCCTGATCCCATTGTATTGAAGGGAGGCTCTTGCCTAGCAGTAGAACATTAAATAATATAATATTTAAAAAATATACCATTTAATATGGTATAAGTACTGTAAAAGTATTTTAATGTTCATTTATATTTTCAGTTAAAAAGCAATTATAAATGCATGGATAGATCTATTGATCACATATAGGAACCAATTAAAACTAATGCTATGTATTAATCTATTCGGTTTTGGATTACTCGTTTTCGCGTTAGCTGTGCTCCATAATTGATAGCGTAGTTTATGTTAATCAATTAGCAGGATTGACCTTATATTAATCTTGCAAATTATTATCTATTAGTATACTGTTTAAACATGTAATGTTTGATTGGAACATCTATAGTAAATTGGAATCTTGGTGATTTCCAAACCGCAAATTAGTTAATCATGGAGGAATGATAAGTAATCAACGTAGTGTTTATATAACAAACCTCTAACGGGTTTTATTACCATACAAGAAAATATTATCTAAAAGCATTTTGTCAGGTTATAGATACTTATTAGAAAAAAAAACTAACTAACTGCCTCGGTGGTGTAGTGGCTAGCATGTACGGCTGCACACTCGGAGGTCCTGGGTTCGAGTCCCAAGTCGAGCCAAGTTTAGTTATTGAGTCTTTCTGTATAGTAAGTCTCGGTAACAGCCCGGAGTTGGGAAGTTGGCGGTGTTTCACCCCCGTGCCTCGGAGAGCACGTAAAGCCGTCGGTCCTGCGCCTTAACTCTCACTGGTCGTGTCGAGCAGTCGTCCCACCGGAGTATGAGAGTGACAGGAATAGAGAGTGCACTTGTGTCTGCGCGTACACTTGTGTACTATAATATCTCCTGCGGAGTTGGCTAGTCTCAATGAGATTGGCCGCCGTAGCCGGAATCGGCTAGGAGAGAACATCACTTATTGGAAGTTATTTTGCTATGACATATATTAATATGTCGGACATATAATGTCATGACATATAATGCACATATTAATGTCGGAGAGATAAATTTGACAACGAAAATGTCATAACACTTTCGACAAAATTTTATTTGCTTTATAAAATTTTTAGTAGCAAGCAATATGGCAATAACACCAAAAAAGGCTATGCTATATGCTGTTTTCTAAATATAATATTTATAAAATATAATTTTTATCATGTCTTATTAAGAAGTACATTCAAAATGCATAACCTAAACTTATTTGTGTTTTCGTGTCTTCGTAACTAGTAAAACTGCCATAACCAAATTTTAATACCTTATTTTAAATTAAAACTTTTCAAAATTACTCCTCAGTGAAATTTGCTAAATCAGTTCAAATTATATATTACTATAGTTAATTAATTAGGTTCATACTAAAATATATTTTTTTTGTCCAGGTCGCTCGGAGCCAGGAGTGGTACCTTCAATAGTGGGCTTTACGAAGGACTCTGTAGCCCAAGAGTCAGACAGACTCGCCCCAGGGGATAGGATTTGCAGCGTGAATGGCATATCAACTGCAAGATTGACAAACGAAGAAGTACTCCGACTCTTAGATAATGTCGAAGAAAGAGCGTCTTTGGAAGTTGAATATTACATGCCCAATTATGGTAAGTGATTTTTTGTGATTGCTATTATTAATTTCTAATATTTTTGGAAAAAAAAATAGATTAAGGGACTTATTTTTATGCTATTAACTTGTATAAAGTATATGTCTGGTATGGTATGTCTGGTATACTTGTAGTATTTGCCTGCATAAAATACATGCAATTTTAGATAATAAAATAACAAAGAAACGTTGCTTTGACCATTATTGTTAGAAAAGAATACACATTTTCTACAATAAAATAATGACTGTACTACATATCATACTTGTAAAAATCCGGAAAACACACGAAAATAAAACGAGGAAAATTGCAAGATAAATCCAACATCCTGTCAAAAAGTTAGGAACCAGCAAACAGAAGCCACAAACAGACACAAGTTAACAATTTATTTTGAGACTTTTCAGCAAAAGCTTGACCATAAAAGGTTTATTTTAAACGAGTTTATATCGTTTCACTTCAATGAATACTGTTTTATCGTTATTGTATTGTGAATTTTGTTATGTAAATAAAATATTTATTATAAAAAATTGTTTCAGGATCATTTAGTTCAAACTCTCTTTCAGCGTCTCAAAATTCTTTGTATATTACAACCAAGCTAGCAGAAGTGCCTGTTGAAAAAATAAATGGCTCTTTAGGAGTAACTATTCGCGGAGGCTTACCGGAAAATTCAGCACCTAGTGCCGATTTAGTACTGAATAGCCGATCATTAGATGCTTTGCCCTTGGTAGTAACACATGTGAGGCCTGGAGGAGCAGCATACAACACTTCCAGAATAAAACCTGGCGATAGATTGTTGAAAGTCGATCATGTAAGTATGATAGTTGTTTTTAATTTTTGGTATTTTAAAGCACATCAAAAATCTGTTTTTTTTTTAATTATTGTTGTTTAGAAATTGTAAATATTATCTAATATAAAAAAATATTGATGCCTACACCCGGTTTCTTGTATATTTGGATATTTATTAAATGAAAACATAAAATTATTAAATAAAAAATCATTGAACTACCAAATATAACTTTTCTGCAACAGTTTCGACTAAAATATGTACGTACTTTCAGATATCACTAACAAACAAAACTTTATCAGAAGTGCATCAAATTCTCCAAAACTGCCCTCAAGTGACGAGTCTTACTATAGAATACGATGTATCAATCATGGAATCTGTGAAGATGGCTACTGGTCCCTTATTAATTGAAATCGAGAGACCGTGTAATGAGGATCTTGGGTTGTTCTTAAGCAATCAGCGTTATTCTGATGATGTATATAGTTCGGGATCAGACACATACCAAAGAGTAGGGAGTTGTAATGCTATCTATATAGATAGTATTCTACCAGCGAGTATCAGCGATAGGTAAGCTATTTACACTGATATTATAAAGATATGTGAGCGTATGTTTGTCTGTTACTTCTTCATGCTCTAACGGCCAAACGGTTGAGTAAAATTTAAAACTGGAAATAATTACACTTAGGTTGTAATATATATCATGTAAACAACTTTCATTTAAAGAAAAATAAAACGCAGATATGTATTACAATAGATCAAAAAGACATGATTCATCGATTAAGAAGCTATTCTGATATTTTTGTGATGCCATTTAAATGGATAGTAACTCAACACATAATATTATGTTCGATCAAATGGTTTGTTTGTCAACGGCCTTGGTTATGTAATGTAATTGTTTTAAATTAATTTTAAAAAAAATATTAAGCCAATCATTAAATTGACATTATGAACGACGAGATAAATTATTCTTAATATACTCGTAATCTTATTCCAAACTAGCGACTTTCACTCACAACGCTCGGGTGTGTCCATTGAGACGTTTTAATTTTTTGAGCGGAACACTAATACTTTTTCTAAAATAAAAGTGGCCCAAGTTACTCCTTATATCAACACCTATCTGGCTGTAGAAGTCTCGTTAAAATCAGTCCAACCGTTTCGGCTTCGGAGGCGTCTTCGGAGACAGGCTGGAACAAACAAACAAACAGACGAAACTTGAAACTTACAAGTACCGTATATAATTTCACATGCATTTAGTAAAAACCTGTTATTTTGACATTACAAACCGACACTGTTTGAATAGTAATTATATTATGAGTTAATTTATTTTTAAAGTTCATTAACCGTATTATACCAGGAATAGGCCGAATTATGTTTTAAAATTATTTTTAATTCACAAACTTTTCGTTTATACGCTGAGTATTTTAATAACAGACCGAGATTTTTTTTCCTATTAAATCCTATATATCCTCAAAATTTTCCCAAACCGTAATTCAATTTTCAAAGTGTACCTACTCCAAATGAGAAAATTGCCAACAAATCCCTTCATCAATTTCAAAAGTCTCCAAACTACACGTAAAGTTATTTTGACCCAACAAACTTGCATAATATAAACGTACGGTTTATTGTTTTTATGAATAGTTAAAACTTGGAAATTTTTCTTCTACAGAAATAACTAATACCAGCTCAAACGTATTATTAATATTATAAATATTCACGTTTTCATTGTCTTGAGAAGTGCTCTCATTATTCTTGGATTATTATTAACGGCGCGCGTTACTTACGTATAAATAAGATAATTAAAATGAATAATTTTTGTATTAGGAAATTAAATTTCCATTACATTTGCAAATTATTTATATTATATCCATACTAGCATTGCCCGTGGCTCCGCCCGCGATCAGATGACCAAAAACCAAATTGTTAGGTTTTACATGGTATACTCTTAGTCTGCAGTTTTTGTATTTTTTCTCAGTAATAACATTTTTCTGCGGTAAAAAGTATCCTTTATGTTGACCCGGATAACCAGCTATCACCATACCTAGTTTCATCAAAATCCCTCCAGTGGTTTTTCTGTGATGCGGTAGCAGACAGACAGACAAAAATTCTAAAAACTATAGATTCGGCCTCTGTATCGATAATAATGTTTATTTCAATAAGATTTTCCAAAAAATATTTAATGTACAGATTCGGCTTAGTTACAATTTTATTATATGCATTGATGTTTATCGCAAAACTAATGGTATCATCCCAAAGAAACTTCGCAAAAAGTAATACTCTACGTAACTTGATAAAAAGATTTTATTTACCTATTCATAATATATGTAAAATTTTCAATTCGTAATTGAATTGAATAAACGAATACATCGGTTCATAATGTTGGGACGGTTTCAATAGTGTTAGTACAATTTCCTTAGAAAAAATAGTGTAAGACGTAACTAGGTTCATTTATGGCGAGACTGTCAGTACATGGCTTAAGGTTTTCAATGAAGTGTTGCTTCCATTGTTCTGGTACGAGAGTAGTTTCTTAGAGGCATAAATAGCTTTTGCAAAAGCTTCCCGTTTTTATACTGACCGTAAAAAAGCTTAGTAGCTTATCATACTAGAACAAGATAAGAGTTTGTGAGTATGTCTGTTACTCTTTACACTTCAATGGCAAAACGAATTTGAAATGGATATCACATCCTTTTTTTTTTTTTTTTAACGTTGGGAAATGCATTTACGCACGAGGTGTGGGACTCACCGGCAAAGCCAGTACTACCCACTAAAACCCAACAAAACATTCCCCCGTCTTAATGGAGCGTCGCAGGATCGCTTACGCATTCAACTACGACGCCCCGACGGCAGGTCTGCCGAAGCAGACCACAACAACCACGGGGTTGCTCCACAGTCCACTCTGCTATCAGAGAAGTACCAGGAGCAACCCGCATGGTACACCGCCCTCCGAAGAGGGCCACCTCTCACCGCCCACCTAAGTGGGCCACCTCCCTGTGCGTTTCTTGGCTTCGCGCCCGGTTGGGTTGCCGGGCACTACTGAGCCCCCCCACCACGACAAGGTGAACGCACGTTGGGGGGGAAGGATATCACATCCTACATGTACCTGCTCGAAGGCATTGGTAGCCCAGTAGTAACCTCTTGGGATACTTAGTGAAGCGGGTTCAAATCTCGCACCTCTTATAATTATTTTCATGTGCAAATTATTTAAAGCATGATCTTCTTTTTGTCTTACGGTAAAGAAAAACATCGTAAGAATTTCTGCATGTCGCATGAGAAAACTTAGCGAAAGACATGTGAAGTTCGCCAAACCGCATTTGGCCAGCATGGTGTCCACCATGCCATGGCCAGATCTCCATTGTAGTAAAGGAAGGCTGTGCCCACAGTGGGCACACATACATACGCTCGTAATAAATTATGATTTTTCTTTAAAGTCTAGTTTAACGTTTAAATGCTATTTTAATAAAATATTAGTGTTTTATATTCTTAGTTATTTTAATAGACAGAAAGACTTATATTGTCAATTAAATATTAATTTATTTCATTCCTTTATGAGTTATTTAATATTTATATATCATACTTTGTCCTAGAATCATATATAAATACTAGCGGACCCAACAGACGTTGTCCTGTCTACACGTCTTTAATTTGAAAATTTCAAACTTTTTTTAATAATTTTTTTGATGAAAATTATTATTCAAATTGTGAATCTAAACCATTCCCAGATCCCCTTGAACACACACAAAAAATTTCATCAAAATCGGTCCAGTCGTTTGAGAGAAGTTCAGTGACATACACACTCACAGAAGAATTATATATATAAAGATTTTCTTATTATAGAGGATGATTTTTCAACTCAAAAACTGAATATAATTACATTATCTAAAAAATATTTTATTTTAAATCTACTGTTGTAGTTTTCATCGTTTCTTCTTATATTAAAAATTTGTATACAAAAATGACGACACATTTGGCTCAGTTTGTGGTGACCCTACTTTCTGTGCCAGCAGTCGCGTGTTCGAGTCCCGCTGGGGGGATTCATTTGTGTCATGAGCACAAATGCTTATACTCCAGTCATGGGTGCTTATATTATTTCATAATATGTCCCTATGTATTTAAAGTTATATATGTGTAGTGCATCAACTTCGTAGCTTACCATGATACTAGATGGTGCTGTGTGTTAGTGTCCTAACAAAATAAGAAAAAGAAAAAAAATTACATACCTACTTACATAATATAAAAGTGGAATCCGATTACTAGTTATTTAGCACTAATGCCACTTATTCAGTCTTCTATGATCGAACTTTTATTCAAATCCTTTGCGTACTCCACAGCGCTTTGCGTACAAATGATAATGGACTATTTAGATTATATTAAATGCTTTAAGCTTTATAATGTTTTATATACAAGTATTATTACAAAGAAGTAATTTCTTTGTGGGCTTAGATGATATTTTTATTTCAGCAAAAGAAAGCTAGAAACCAAGTTTTTATAAAGAAAAATTAAGGTGGATGTTTGTCTGTCTTTAGCCTGATTAAAATAAATAACAATTTTTTCGATGTGACGACGTGATGTATGTGGTTCGCAAGACGAAGTGAATTTTAGACATAGTATACTGTATACCTACTTTTGTCTACGTCATTTTATTTCAACTCACCCTCGAGGTTGTCCCTAGTTGTGTTTTTACGTTTAGTATAGGTTTCTCAGAGATGAAATATTTTCCACAGTAAAAAGTATCCTATATGTTGACCCGGATAACGAAACTATCAGCATACCAAATTGCCACGTCTTACCGTCCAGTGGTTTTCTCGTAATGCTTTCCCAGACAGACAGACAAAAATTCTAAAAACTATGTCTTTGGCCTCTGTATCGATAATAATGACTAATTCAATAATAAGATTTTCCTATAAAATATTTAATGTACAGATTCGAATCAGTCAGAATTTTATTATATGTATTACTTAAAAATAGGTTCTCCTGATTAATTTCGGCCACGGCGGCCAATCGTGGTGTACGCGCAAACACAAGTGCACTTGTGGCTGCACGTACACTACGATTGGTAACACTATTTATCAACATTTTACTTATTATAAAATTAATGTAAATATCTCTATTGGAGTTGGTTTTAATTTCTCCCATATTCCAAACACTCTGAACTCGTGTCACTCTTAAACTCCGGTGGGACGACTACTCGACACGAACAGTGAGAGTTAAGGCGCAGGATCGACGGCTTTACGTGCTCTCCGAGGCACGATGGTGCAACACCGCCAACTTCGTAACTCCAGGCTGTTATTGAGGATCACTAAACAGAAAGACTCAATAACTAAACTTGGCTAGACGCGGGACTTGAACCCAGGACCTGGACAGGAACTGATGTGCAGTCGTACACGCTAGGCACTATACCACCCAGGGCTGTTATGACAATAGATTCCTTACAATATGAACCTATCGTATAGGTAGTATCTACAGTACCTAGATCTTTGTTGGGCCGTAGCTGCCATTGTCTCTTCAATTCAGTTAGTTCGCTCAAAGCAAAAGTCACGGTAAGCTATTTCAACAATTATAATTTTCCGTATTTGAATTTTATTCTGTGGTTTAACTCAACGTCACATTCAACGCTACTTTTTGAAAAGATATTTGTTAACCGAATTCCAAAAAGGAGAAGGTTCTCAATTCGTCGGAATCTTTTTTTAATGTATGTTCACCGATTACTCGATGACGCCTGAACCGATTTGAAAAAAAAGTTTGGTTTAAAGGGTTATACTTCCCAGGTGGTCCTATATAAATTATATCGAAACCGGTCAAGAGGTTTTTTAAAAAATCAACAATAAATTATTATCTTAAATCAATTGTTTAATCGTATATGTTAATTAAAAACTTCCTTCTTACAAATTACCTGCTTATTACATCTACACTAAAAATGAAAAAATAAAATCTTTAAATTTGTTTTTTAAAGTTTTTATATATTTTTTAAGTTTTATAGGAAACTTGTATCTATGTTCTTATATGTATATCAATAGATGTAAATAAATAACTTATTCATAATTCAAATGTTATTTCTATAGTTACTTTGTTGTATATTTCTGTTTTGACAGAATTATTCGTTTGTCATTAATTTTAAAATGCAATTGCTTAGTTTATTTCCGTTCTGAGTAGCTCAGTGAGTAAGTTTCATATAGCTTTTTTATGGACTGTTTACACAATTTTTGTTTTGTGGCTCTGATACTATGATTTAGGCAAGAGTAGTATAAGCTTTTTATACTTCAGAAAGAAAAACATGAAAGATAATGGAATAATGGCTAAGACGATTTTGACAAGTATTAAATATTAATAAGTTGAGGTTAAAAATGGATATTTTGTGTTTCTAATGAGCGAGCAATTTTGCGTATAAAACTACTCTTTCAATAAGAAACATAAGGTAACATAACATAAAGTAAGAATAAAAATAAAGAACCGTAAATATAAAATAATATATAATTTTATATTTTAATGTTATGTTTACTATTTATTATTAAAGGGAAATTAAAAAAATATTTGATGGGGTTTTGAAATATACCACACATATTCTATAGTGTGTATAATTAGTTCATGTTAGAATTTTTTTAAATATATTTTTACACAATAAACCTTTAGCAGAATACATGAATATTTTTTGCATCTTTATTAACACCTCTAGGTAAATTTCTAAGAAATTTATTAAAATTCTTAGAAATCTATTGTTAACTGACACGCCGGCGTGTCCGCGGTCGTGGAGGGATTAAGGATTTTAAATTGAAAATTATTATACATATACTTGATATGAATATAGACTTTCATAGAAGCAACGTTTACCGGAAGATGAAGATTAAGTAAACTAAAGCTTTCGAGCAAATTTGGCGTTTAGATTACAACAAATGCTTACTTTCAAAGATAATAAAATATTACCTGATTTCGAAATTGAACTTAGCCAATTAGAAGAGCACCGAAACTTAGGAGTGAATGCTGATGGAAAATGCCAATTCGCAATCTCTAATTCGGAGAAGCAGAAATCGCAGTGTTATTAAGTTTAATGATTAATTCTCGATAAATCTAAATTGATTTATAATTGAACGTATAAAATAAATAATTTTACGCTATAACATAAAAGTTAAACTAACCGATTTTTATGAAAACCTTAATAACCTAACCTTATGATCCTCTTGACCGATTTCATCCACGGCGACCAATCTCTTGAGACTAACTACATATTGTACAGGAGATGTCGTGCACAAGTGTGTGAGCAAATACAAGCACACTCTTTATTTCTGTTATCATCATACCACGATAGAATGACAATTCGACACGACCAGCAAAATCTTGCTTGATGCAGCGTGTAAAGCCGTGGGTTACGTGCTCTCTGAGGCATGGGGTTGGAACACCACCAAGTTCCCCAATCCGGGCTATTACTTATATTTTCTTTATATAAAGCCTCAATAACAAAACTTGACCCGACCCATACCCGATGTATCGTACGTAGACACTACATGCTAAATACCAGACAACTGAGGCAGTTCCTTTCGTTACTGTAGCATTACGATCTAGTTGTTAACATCTGCAGGGCTAGTTATTGAATAAGATTAAAAACTACCTAAGCAACAAAAATATATATACTAAACTAGAGGCTTGTATAGTTTATTATATAAAATGTTATTTTTGCAGATGTGGCGCATTACATCCTGGAGATCAGCTGTTAGCATTCGACGACCACGTGATAGATGGAAATAATTACACAGCAGAAGAAGTTATGTGTTATCTAGAAAACTGTGAAGCTGGGTTTACGAGGTTACATGTCGCACCAAGACACATTTTAGCTCATGGGGGACGTTTTACACGAGGTATATTATTATTATTGTTTTTAAGTTTAAACTTTCTCAAAATCCGAAGGATTTTAGAATATAATGAAGTCCGCGGGCCTGAGCCAAGAGTACTTCATTAGAATTATTAGGGTATTATATTAACATCTTCCTCTTGTAGAAACTTTCTCACTATACGGCATGTATTTATTATTATTATTTTCAAAATTCTTCTATAATTGCTTCATTTGCAGATAATGCGATTTTCAGTTAAGATAATAGTTTTTATTAAGTTTTATAAAACTTGATTGAAGCATATTATTTAAAAATGTAATAATGATGCTAATAAAATTGGATCTGTATTTTTAACGGTATATTTTTATATTATCTATAATTGGGGATTTCTGTACCCGCCCACTAACTAAGTAAACAAATTGAGACTGTATAATCTAACTAATCCTAAATATTCAAACTTCAAAACTCTCCAGGCAAATATTTAATAATTACAAAGAGGGGTATACATAATATATGCTTATGTGTTGCTTAAACACTTTTAATAAATTAACAAGGCCTATATAATATAATAATTTCAAACCTATGATCTTTGAACAAAAAATGAGAATTCAAAATATTTCAAAACAGATTATTATCTAAACCTACTAATATTATTATAAAAAGAAATGATATTTTGTATGTATGTAATCGATAAAGTCTGAAACTACTAAACTGATTTCGATAATTCTTTCCCCTTATAAAGCTACATTTTCTAAAAGAAGCATCCAATATTTAATTTCACTAACAATAAATATCTCGTCTACAAAATCACCTAAGTTGACAACTAGCGCTAATAATGAACGTTGGCCTTTTGTAAAACTCGCCAAAGCTTCATAAATTAAATTCTTTCACAAAATATTTTACTTTGCGTACATTCTTCTACGTGCTCTCAACAAAAGATCACCTTAGCCCAGGTATATAGGTGACCTTTGTCTAACATCGTCTCGCAAAGGACGGTAAGCCGTAAGACTCTGTTTCATGCAAATATTTGACTTTAAGCTTTGCAAGTGCATCGCATAGACTCAAGGGAGCTCGAACCGACGAACGGTATCTTGATACTTGGATGATGATTAAATGTTACAAGTTACCTTGAATAATTTGCATATTAGTATATTACTAGCATTGCCCGCGGCTCCGCCCGAGTTCAGATGACCAAAAACCAAATTCTTAGGTTTTACATATTAGTATACTCTTACATTGCAGTTTTTGTATTTTTTTCAGAAATGAGACATTTTCCCGCGGTAAAAAGTATCCTATATATTGACCTGGATAAACAGCTATCACCATACCAAATTTCATCAAAATCTCTCTAGTGGTTTTTCTGTGATGCGGTAACAGACAGACAGGCAGACAAAAATTCTAAAAACTATAGATTCGGTCTCTGTATCGATAATAATGTCTATTTCAATGAGATTTTCCAAAAAATATTTAATGTAAAAATTCGGCTTAGTTACAATTTTATTATATGTATAGATTGGTCGCGGATTCATAGGATTTTTTATGTCTTTTACCTATGCATATAAATTATAATAATGTTATTATATGCCAGATATTATATTAAGAAATGTATACATTTATTTTCATTGAAACGTAGTATAGATATGGAAATGATATCGAAGGAGTTATAGTTCAACTAGAATTTAGTTTTATTTGGGCGAACAAGCATTTTGTTTGAATTATATATATTTTTTTACTTTAAAAGACTATAAAATATATATAAAGTTAAAAATTTCAATATTCACATAACATTATATAGCATCTCAAGACAAACGTTACACACAAAGAGATTACACCAATAGTTCACGTTGTTTCATAAACAAAATCTAACTATTTGGAATTTGGCCAATAACAAATTAGGTAGCTGAGGGATGATTTCGGAGTTAATTCTTAAACAACCCTGAAGTCTTAAGCGAAACTGCCTGAAACTTGGTAAAGTTTGGAACAAGATCAGATGTTAAGCGAGAAGCGTATATATAAATTCCAAGTTATTCTTAAATATATTGCTAAAACGCTTTTCCCTTACTAAAAAAATAGTGACTTACTGTCTTATTCATTTAATTATTTAATTTATTATTATTCAATTTATTAATTATTAAATTTATTTAAAAAATATTCAATTTCAATGTGTTTCTATTCTTTTAATTAAAACATACTAGATGTGATATATGGTAAGGATATCTAAGTAATATCTGGATTTTTTTTTTACCAAAAATATCTAGGGATAACCTTTTTATTTGATGGTTGTGAACTTCCTATTTGCCAAATGTAACCAACCGTATTACCTATTTTGAATACCAAAAATTCACATTCTTCAACAAAAATTATAGGTTTCAAACAGGTTTTTCACTCTCGTGGTTATCTTAAAATTACAATTCACTGCTTCAACTTATATGAACGCTTTCATTTGCAAATAGCACCATACTTCATACATCCATTTACAATGTAATGGAGATCAAACTTGCCCCATTCTAGTCAAAATATTGTAGTTACACAAAGGAGATAATGTTTAATCGCAATATACGGTTATGATTTCTATTGGAGTACGCAAAGTTGAGTTGTTGAAAAGTTTCTAAAAAAAAAATACCCTAAAATTTTATCGCCCTTCCTGAAAAAGCTTTTTTTTTGTAAAAATTGTAATATTAAGGTAATTGAATATTATGTAAAATAATGATGTTGTATAACTTATATAAAGTAATTTATGTGATATATATACATATATATATATATATATATATAATAAATTTAAGCTTACTGTGGATAGGCATGGAAACGTAAAATAATGGTAAATAAGATGTAAATATTTAGCAACGCGTTTAGGCTGAGTAGAGAATTAAATAAACATTATGAAAGTTTATATTAAAAAAATACTATCATTTAGGGCTGTAAATAATTGAAAAGATGGATCAAATTTATTTTTAAAATGATGTTTCATATTACGGATTTATGAAATATGTTACAAACTAGCGAATTAATTTCGCTTGGCTCGGACGTCACTAACTACGTGTTTTTTTGAGCAGAGCCCTAATTCTTTTTTCTAAAATAAAAGCAAATCAAATCAGCTCTTTTCTAGCGAAAGTCCCGTCAAAATCAGTCCAGCCGTTTCGTAGATGAGCCGAAACAAATAGACAGAGAGACAAAAATTTTGTAAATTGTGTTTTTCGTATAAGTACCGTTTATAATTTCATATGCATTTAGTGGAAAGCTTTTATTTCGACATTACAAACAGACACTTGAATTTTATTTATCTGTATAGATAAGTGCCCCTACAATTTAAGTATAATTATAAAATAAAGCACACTTCTATCACATCATATTATATTCTGCAATCTTCAATTTATTTGATTTATTTTCTCTTTTATTTCAAGTAAACTGTATGTTATGTTTCGTAATTTTAATACTCTTACGATCAGAGATTTCTTTCAAGATGATGTTAGATATATGTATAATAAAATAACGTAATAACTTATATAATGTTTTTCGATATGAGGTAAATGCTCACACGTAAGCTTATGATGTGGAAATATTCCGAGCGTGTTTGAACGCAAAAATATGAAACCAGATAATATATTAAATATTTTTTGCGAGTTTCGTTTTCATTTATGTTTTATAAACGATAGATAAATGCTTTCTTTTCCGCATTCTTCTACTGTAGATAGGTAAGTGATTTTTTTTTGCAATTTCGGTTTTATGTTTAAAACAAAGGTTTTGTAATCATATAAAATCACTTAGTCTTTACTAAAGCAATATATTATGTCGAACTAAATATGGTACCAAAATAACCCTTTCATGTTTCTACCAAGAAGATCTCTTATTGCAAAAAATAAAGAAAATTTAATAAACTTTCTTTAATGTAAAAATGTATACGTACACACAAATACTCTATAGCTATTTATTTAATACTAGTGAGTACTTATGATAAACATTTAGTATCGATTTCTCAGAGATGAGATATTTTCCCGCAGTAAAAAGTATTCTATATGTTGATCCGGATAACCAGCTATCATAATACCAAATTTCATCAAAATCCTGCCAGTGGTTTTTCCGTGATACGGAACAAACAGACAGATAGACAAAAAATCAAAAAACGATATATTCCGCCTCTGTATCGATAATAATATCTATTTCAATAAGATTTTTCAAAAAATATTTAATGTACAGATTCGGCTTAGTTACAATTTTATTTTATGTCATAGATAAGCCTTGAGCAGGACTTCAACCCACGATTGCTTATATAATTTTATTATTTATTTATGTATCACAAAAAATATATAAAATAGAAAACAGATACCATGAGTACAAAGGATGACTTATCTCTTTAAGAGATTTCTACCAGAAACCCTAGATAGAGCGTGAGAAAAAAATAATAATGAGGTGCGGTGTAGGTACAAACCACCAACATCAATTATTATATAAATATACACATATACAAACATACATACATACATACATACATACATACATACATACATACATACATACATACATACATACATACATACATACATACATACATACATACATACATACATACATACATACATACATACATACATACATACATACATACAATACACAATACTCCAAGAAATAAAGAAGAAATAATTTTATTTGTTTACAGAAAACTCAATGTCAGGTGCTTCGACGCTGAACGCTAAAAAACAAAGACAAAGAAACTATAGACAGAGTTCGATGCCAAAACTGGGTTTACAAGATGATTATGGTAAGACCTACTTTACTTCACGTCTAAATATTTGTTTCCTTAAATAGAAACATAACTGTTCTGTAGATTAAAATAACGTATAATTTATTTTTGTTACGAAGACTTAGAAATGAAATTACAAAAATTTTATTACATTCATACTAGTAAAATAATTCTTAGAGTTTTTTTTAACTCTAATCTTTCCCAATATTGAGACACTAGTGACTTTTGCAATTTGAATATTTATGTATGCATTTTAGCAAGCCACTAGCGCCACCTTTTGATAAACTTTATTACCAGCTTTAGCTTATCTGTTAGACCTGGTTATAAACTGTCTTCATCAACTTCATCAAAATCTGTTGAGCCGTTTCCGCTTGAATTGACTTTCTTAACCAGCCCGAGATAAATCCCGCTAATATTGTGAATACTAAGTTTATGAGTGAGTCAGAGAGTAAATGGGTTCCTTTTTTAAGCTGCAACGCTTGATAAAGACTAAAATTCTAAGCGGAGAATTAATTAATAATGAGCTATTTTATTTTCGATGTACCTACCGACCTGTAGGTATACCTACCTCAGTAGGTAGGTAGGTAGCTAGGTACCTATCTGCTGAGGTAGGTATACCTATACTCTTTATTCTCTTCGTTCAAGAATCATAGTCGTAACCTACGGTATGTTATATACTTTTCGTAATTGTCATACGAACTTACACATGTCAGTTAGTCACGTATGTACACTTGCTCAATCGACCTCAGAGTAGTAAAAAATATATATAAAAGTAGTCGTTTATTGCGTCGTTGGTATTTTACTTTGTGACATTTATGTAGCCGACATGCTAACTTATGTAGCGTGTCTAACAATATACGAGTATTAGATATGGCTATACTATATGTACTATAAAAAAGGCACTGGTAGTCCAGTGGTAATGCGATGGAAGCGGGTTCAAATCGCGGGTCTCGCACCTCTGATATTTTCATGTGCTAAGCATTTCCAATATAATTGCCACTTGTCTTACGGTGAAGAAAAATATTATGAGGAAACCTGTATATCTGAGAGAACGTAGCAAGTTTTCAAAAGATATCTGACGTCTGCCAGACCACGCTTGGCCAGCTTGGTGGACTATGGCTCGTTCCCACTTGTAGGTAAGGGAGGCCCGTGCCTAGCAGTGGAAAGTTAAAATGGGCTTTATATAAACATTCACACATATATACTTTACTTTTTTATAAGTTTATTAAAAAAAAACTAAGATTAAACCGAGTGATAAATCGTATATCTTTTTGGAAACATTATTGACGAAATGGCAGAGTGGTCATTTGTTTGATTGGCATCCATTATTCCCATGGGCTTTACATGAGCGTTATCTGTCAAATCTTTGTAATGTTGCTAGCATGTATGTATTGGCGATAAATTTTTGAATACAAGTTTGAAAATAAATAAATAAATATGTTGGGATATTAACCCACAGCACCATCTAGTTCCATGGTAAGCTTCGAGGCTTGTGCTATGGATACCAGATAGTTGATACACTATACATAATATATAACTTAAATACATACATATTATAAATATAAATATCCATGACTGGAGTACAGACATTCGTGCTCATCACACAAATGAATGCCCCAGCGGGATTCGAATCCGCGGCCGTTGGCACAGCAAGTAGGGTCACTACAAACTGAGTCAATCATGTTGTCATTGAAAATAATTACTTTCTAACTAAAAATGTACACAGATTTCAAAAACACTTTTAAATAATTATTCTAAACATAGCTAGAATTTCTTTTTGAAATAAGTCTGTAGATTAGTTGAAGTAGTAGTAGTATGAAGATTAGTATATATGTAAGCAAAATAGCTATCTTCTATTTTAAGAAGTCGGTCAACAAAACAATGTACGTTAATACTCTCTTAGATTTACGCGAATATTTGATTTTTTCGCGGATTTATTATGGCTTTTGGCTTCACGATGAGCTCTCTTGTATTTGCTGTAAAGCTTTCGAAACGTGGGGACCAAAAACCAAAATAAATCTGCGAAAATATCCGAAAAGATAGTTTTATGTATGGTACATATATAAAACTATCTTTTCGGATTTTTTATTTTAATAATAACCAGCAACGTACCTAGGTATATTTTAAATAGATAAAAATAGTTATTGCGAGTGTACTTCCTAAGGTATACACAGTAGTGATATATGCTATTGAGAAATTCTTTGTAGGGCTTTTAAAACCCACACATTTTTAGTACATATTTTGATGAATCTAAAGGTTTAGCCATCGTTAGCCATGTAAATTTCTAAGGACGACTCGACAGAACCAGGTATTTTGTTTTTCCGTGGGATTAAAAGATTTTCCTGTAGTAAAACGAATCCTAAATATTGACCCAAGTAAGAAGTTATCCTTACACAAAATTTGGTTTACATTGGTTCATTACTTTTTGTATGAAATGCACACAGAAATACAGACAAACAGACAAAAAAATTATAACTATTGTTTTGGGATCTATATTCTGTACACAATACGTAAGAGTCATTGTTTTACAAAATATTTCATGTACAGATATTGCTGTGTTACTATTTCTATACGTATGTATAGATATTTTATTTCCAAAGGTAACATATTGCATCATTAGTAAACCATTTAAGAAACATAAGCTGTGATCAAATTTTACAGGATAGATTTAGTGTTGTTCAAACACTTTTTTTATTCTCCACACCACAGATTAGGGTTGTACCAACATTTGTTTAGAACTTATTCACATTAATTTAGTTTCGGATAGTAATATGTGTACCGTTGTAGAATGTAATTAGAGAATGTACCAACACTGCAATGTCCACTTTCCATCTTAAAGGAATGCGATGTGATGCCTCTAGTACATTATGCATATTAAATACCTTTGGAGGAAATAATTAAATATTTTTTAATTAAAAATAACATATATCATTGTATTTATAAGAAATGATTAAATATTTTTTGAATACAAAATCCTTACGAATATCATAAGTGTGAAAGCAAGTTTGTCAGTTTGTTTGTTTCTCATAAAATAGTAAACAATTATAAGTAATTGAAGTAATATCAGCAGTGACACTTATATCGAATAATTTCATTTGTCACGAAATTAAAGAGCAATATTGGACTTGGATCCAACGGGGCGTGAAGACATGAGACTGGGATGTTGCCCACTTCGATGGTGATGTGCCAAGCATGTTGCTCCTGGTTCTTCTCTGATAGAAGATTTGACTGTGGTAGCATCCCCTTGCTTGTTGTGGTCTACCTTTTATGAATAAATCGAGCGAGCACTAGCCATAGTTGATCAAAATGTGGAAGTCTAACTCAGAAAATATGGGTTCGAATCCTATTGTCTCATAAAAATATTCAATTTAAAAATGTAAAGTAAAGTATAGTAAATTAATCTAGTTAATTTACCAACATATAAGAAAAAACGGATTAAAATAATTCGAGTCCACATCTTTGAATGTTATACATTTATTTTTAATAATTAATGATAATACATTTATTTAAAACTAGCATTACCCGCGGCACCGCCCGCATTCAGATGACCAAAAACCAAATTCTTAGGCTTTACATATTAGTACATTACATTGCAATTTTTTATTTTTTTCTCAAAAATAAGATATTTTCCCGCGGTAAAAAGTATCCTATATGTTGACCCGGATAATCAGCTATCACCATACCTTTCATCAAAATCCCTACAGTGGTTTTTCTGTGATGCGGTAACAGACAGAAGAAGTTCAAAAAACTATAGATTCGGTCTCTGTATCGATAATAATGTATAGTTCAATAAGATTTTCCAAAAAATATTTAATGTACAGATTCGGCTTAGTTACAATTTTATTATATGTATACATAGATATAAAAACATGTTTACAAAATGTTATATTCATTTAACCAACAGATGGACAACAAAATTACATGAGCATGGGCGTATGTAGGACAGAATCACTGAATATACAACTCGAAGTGCCTCCAGGACAAACTAGCGGGCTGGCTGTTCACGATGAAAATGCTGCATTGATTATTTCCCATGTGGCGACACAATCCCCTGCCTATAGGTAAGCTTTTTTTTTTGTATTGTCTTGTACGAAATGTCTATGCTTATAACTTTTGAAGACGGTGGTATTTTTAAATTATATATGTATACAATATTATATTTATACTTTTGAATATGTTATTCGTATAATATGTATAATAATATTTTGTTGAAAAATAACAATTTTACTTTAAGAGTTTTACTTGGCAGTATTTTTGGAATTAAAATAAATGAACTCTTATTGATTTAAATAATTGGAAATTGATATTCTAAAATACCTGCATTGTTTTAGATCCGGTTGCCTACAAATTAGAGATAGAGTGATGTCAATCAACGGTCACGAAAATTTGACATCAGATGTGGCTAACGAAATTTTACAAAGGCGAAACGACTCTCATAACCCAAAATATTTGACTCTAAACGTGGAATTTAGTATGCCCAACACAATAGAAGCGTCTAGTGGAGTGTTTAATGTGAAACTTGCCAAAACCTCAGCTGGTCTCGGTGTTACTATTACAGGTAATACTATATTTTTGATATTTCCTGCAAAAATAGCTGTAAAGTTAATTAATAATGTAGACGCTTGAGAATGATTGCGACATATTTGTTTCATCCTATAAAATTTCGTACGTTAAGTTCATGACTTTTGAAACAGGAAAATAATACTGGCCTTTGTGCGTGGCTTCTTCAAGGTTAATTGATATAAGAATGTTCTCCATACTCAAATACACCATTCCGTACCAATGTACCAATTTTATGGCGATCGTTTGAACGGTTAAAAGCTGATGCGCTGCAACACCATGTTGTGGCAAGTTACAGGAAAATAAATGGCATACAAGCCTTCTACATATAAAAACACCTGTACGTCTGTAAATTTCAAAACGGTTGATGAAGAAACTCACTAAGAATTATAGTTTTGCGTATATTTATTTAGTTATTTATTTAGTTAAAAGAAGTAAGAGATATGATATATTTGTGTTGATACATTCAATTATGTACTAGAATTAATTAGCGCAAAAATATGTAATGTTTTAGAGCAAAATATTTCTTGAATTTTACTACTGTAATTACAGCACTACGATTAAATTAAACAGAAAAATCTAAAATGTTTAATATGTTTAATATAGAAAAAAACTTCGAGGTTATGTTATATAAAAACCAGTCTGTAATTTCTAGTGCCTTGACCTATTTTAATGTATAAATAATTTATAAAGTGGAATAGCCTTGGCTCATCTACTTGTGGCTAGACTTGAGTGATAGCTAATCATATTTTCTACCCCTCATCTGAGAGCAGTGAGGCGTCATATCGTTAATGTCGGTCATCTTCATAAATATGAGATGCGATCGATACGTTTCGCATAATTTGCAGTACATTTTATATATAATCATATTTTATCGTTGAGTTTTAGATTATTTTGAATTATGATAAAAATAACTTCTTATTCTATTTAATTTATAAATAAATAACGACACATTTGATGAGAGTGTCATAATTCAAAAGTTCTTTACAACCTAGATGATTTTTTTTAGAATATCCCAGAGAAAATATTATAAAACTATGTCACCATGATAAATTATTGCCGTCTTTTTTATTAGTTTAAAAAAATATTTTTATATATTTGCTACATATAATATAAAAATACGTGCATAATTTATGCCGACGACCGTGTTCGATAAAAAATATTTATTAGGACTATTTCAATTCTAAATTTCATTCAAATATATTGAACCGTTACAACGAGAACAAGTAATAAACATACAAACTTTCACATTTATAATATTAGTGAAATTCTTGTGGTGATATTTAAATATTTTTTTAGGATGCAAACAAAAACTTCTCAGCAACGAAGAGCCAATGGTCATATCAGATATAAAGCCGGGTTCAGTAGCACATAGGAGTGGAGCTCTCGCGCCTGGAGACCACCTTCTGGCTATAAATGGGCAACCATTGCATAATTTATCTTTAGTAAGTATAAACTTATTTTAAGACTAGCATTGCCCGCGGCCCCGCCCGCGTTCAGATGACCAAAAACCAAATTCTTAGGTTTTACATATTAGTATACTCTTACAATGTAGTTTTTGTATTTTTTATCAGATGTGAGACATTTTCCCGCGGTAAAAAGTATTCTATATGTTGACCCAGATAACCAGCTATCACCATATTACATTTCATCAAAATCCCTCCAGTGGTTTTTCTGTGATGCGGTAAAAGACAGACAGACAGACAGACAAACAGACAAAAATTCTAAAAACTATAGATTCGACCTCTGTATCGATAATAATATCTATTTTAATAAATAACATTTTCCAAAAAATATTTAATGTACAGATTTGGCTTAGTTGCAATTTTATTATATGTATAGATTCCAGTTTAATATTATATTGCTGGCATTAGCATACTTACGAGTATATTACTCCATTGGGAAATTATTATGATATCACACAATATCTCCTTAAATCGAAATAACTCGTAAATTAAAAAAAATTAAAACTCCCAACACAATAACCTAATATCATATTGAGGTCATTTCAATGAGCCTAAACACGTTTAATATCTCTGCCGTACTTTAGTAAAGATTTGAGTATCTTGCAGATTCTATGACGTTATGGCATCAAGCCAAGGTTACTATATCATTGCAATATCATTAAAGTAACGGAATACCAAGTTTCAAGTGAATTAGATCTGTGGAAGTTGTTCATGTAATTTTAACTTCTAGAAAAGAACTGAGAGTCTGTAAGTGGCTGCATGGATTTTCTTGATTTATAGCTAAGAATACTCTCATTAAGTCACCTTTCAAACAAAAACAAACTAAATTAAAATTGGTTCATCCGTTTGGGTGCTACAATGCGCCGGGGGTTATAGAAACGTATTACGATGTGATATAACCATTAACCGTATATAACATTACATTTTTTTATACTTTGAAAGTATCGGAGGCATGCCCGCCCATTGGTTTGATACTTGCTCTATTTTATCTCCTCCCTACTTTCTCTTTCATGGTAATTCGTAAGTTGTACTCCCATAGGCGTAACTATTACCAATATATTACATTTGCACGTTTGTATGATGAAAAAATGATATGTTAAACAGTTTTATTGTGATATTTCCGACGTTTTCGCTTTTAGATGGTAGTAAATTAGATATAATTTTTATTGCTTTTTATTATTGCCAATACTCATGAAAATATATAGTATAAGCATTTTAGCATTTTCAATAAAGAGTAATAAAAGTTATGTTCTGATTAAAGAAATGTAATAAAATATGGTATCTGTAACCCAATACTTTGTTATTGATACGTAATATAATAAACAGAACTCATTTATATCTATATAAATGTATAGTAAAATTGTAACTAAGCCGAATTTGTACATTAAATTTTTTTTGGAAATTCTTATTGAAATAGACTTTATTATCGATACAGAAGCCGAATCTATAGTTTTTTTTAATTTTTGCCTCTCTGTCTGTCTGTTACCGAATCACAGAAAAACCACTGGAGGGATTTTGATTAAATTTTGTTTGGTGATAGCTCGTTATTTGGGTCAACATATAGTATATTTTTTACCGCGGGAAAACATTTCATTTTTGAGAAAAAATACAAAAACTGCATTGTAAGAGTATACTAATATGTAAAACCTAAGCATTTGGGTTTTTGGTCATCTGAACGCAGGCGGAGCCGCGGGCAATGCTAGTATTGTATATAATAATATATATGTAAAACAACAAAATAAACTTTGAATTGTATGTAAGCAAACCCATTAAGTTAAATAATAATTTAAACTTTTAAGGATACAGCGTTCAATATACTTCAAAACTCTCCGGAAGATATCATAACTTTGAAAATCCGGAAACGTGACTTGACAGAGGACTGGTCTGTTCACAAACATAATGCAAAATTGACGTTGCAGAGCTTTAGTAATATAGAAACTAAGGCTGTAGTGCACAGTGGAGAGGACTCGGGTCACCATACAGAAAGCCCAAATAACAGTGCAAAAGAAAGCGAAGTCCATAGTGATAATGGTAACACTGCAGTTTTTATGGTGGAAATAATAAGGCAGGAAAATGGGCCTTTAGGTTTGACGATCGCTGGCAGTGAAGATGTAACACAGCCTATTCTATTAAGTGGACTCGTTGAAGGTTTGTAGCTTTTTTATATGTATGTAGTAATGGAGTAATATTTTATTAATTTAATTTTTAATTTTATGTTCACAGTTGTTTTTATTTTCTATTATTAAATGGAAAACTTCAATTTGAATATTGTATGATAAAATATTTTTATTCCTTAATAATTGTGATTGTTGCCCGTTTGAAAAATACTTAAAAAAAGTTGGAACTAATAGAGTAAAAAATTGATCTATTACTACACGGAATTTCTTTCGGAAATCTCTTCAAGCGCTCTTTTCTAGATATTTATATAGTTTTTTGATCAACAATAAATATATTTCTGAAATATTTAAGAAATAACTTTAAAGAGGTGTAAAAGAGAGGAATAATGTTTAATTTTGCAGGCGGGCTCTCTGAGAAATGCGGTAAATTGGCTATAGGCGATGAATTACTCAGTATTAATGGTGAAAGTGTATTAAATAAGCCCCTTTCTGAAGCAATAAAGTTATTACAACAAAGTGGACAACGAGTTCAGTTGCAACTCTGTAGAAAAGTAACTGGTAAGTTCATATTAGTTTTAATTTAGTAAAAAATAAAATAGTATAATTCAAAACAAGAAATTACACGCGACGCCGCTTACTTAGCCTATACATATAATAAAATTGTAATTATGTCGAATTTGTACATTAAATATTTTTTGGGAAATCTAATTGAAATAGACATTATTATCGATACAGAGTCCGAATCTATAGTTTTTAGAATGTTTGTCTGTATGTCTGTCTGTTACCGCATCACGAGAAAACTAAAAATTTAATATGATGATAGCTGGTTATCCGGGTCAGCATATAGGATAGTTTTTACCGCGGGAAAATATCTCATTTCTAAGAAAAATACAAAAACTGCATTGTAAGAGTATACTACATAATATGTAAAACCTAAGAATTTGGTTTTTGGTCATCTGAACGCGGGCGAAGCCGTGGGCAATGCTAGTATATAATATATATACGTCAGTTATAATATGTAAGTGGTATATGTATAATAATTTCTTAGATTAACGCAAATTCGAGATATTTTAATTAAAACTAACCTTTCGTAGTTTTTTGCGGATTTATTTTGATATTTGGTTGCCGAAGTCACGGATCTGTTATAAATAGGTAAAATTATACGTACGAAGGAGATAACCTATACATCAACGAATATAATTTTTTCATACAAATTTCTATCGTGTACCCCTTCTCCACTATAAAATGTATTCATTAGTGGCCTCATCAGTGAGTGCTATTTGGTTTTTTATATTACTAGCGACTCTCGCTCCGCTCGAGTTCGTGCCCGCTTACGTTCTAAGTTCAGTGTAGTTTCTCAGAGATGAGATTTTTTCCGCAGTAAAAAGTATCCTATACCCGGATAACCAGCTATCATCATACCAAATTTCATCAAAATACCTGCAGTGGTTTTTTCCGTCACAAACAGACATACAGAGAGACAGACAGATAAAAATTCTAAAAACTATAGATTCAGCATCTGTATCGATATTAGTGTATATTTCAATAAGATTTTCCAAAAAAATATTTTATGTACAGATTCGGCTTAGTTAAAATTTTATTATATATGTGGATGTACATAATATATGGATATTTTAACAAAATGTAAGGGTAGCGATACTCATATATCAACAAGATTGACCTATAATCGATTTTGATATCATTCAAGTCCCTAAAGTCCTAACAAAATAATGCGTAAGTTACAACATATGGGTCACTAAGAAATACCATTGGGAGAACTTGGAAATGTGTTTAAAACTTTTCTTAGAAATCTTTGGTGTGACACAAGCGAGGTAAGGCTGGAACTTACGAGCACTTTTAAAGTTACGTATGTTTATGTTATTTCTTCGTGGATTTTCGTGGATTTAATTATTGTGAATGCAAAGATAACATTAGGGATTTATATATTGCGAGTATATTGAAATCAACTTCTAAAGAAATATATTATATTCAGCCCTTTTTCACGTCCCACTGCTGAGCACGGGCCTCTTAATATACTTAATACGAGGGGGGTCAGGCCATAGTCCACCACGCTGGCGAAGTGCGGATTGACGGACTTCACATGTGTTTCGAAAAGTTGTTAGGTTATCTCAGACATGCAGGTTTCTCGCGATGTTTTCCTTCGCCGTAAGACAAGTGGTAATCATGTTGAAAAAAGAAATATAGGTATATAATAAATATTTTCTAATAATTATTTTTATTTTTTATAAAATACTAGCATTGCCCGCGGCTCCGCCCGCATTCAGATGACTAAAAACCAAATTCTTAGGTTTTACATATGTATTAGTATACACTGACATTGCAGTTTTTGTATTTTTTCTCAGAAATGACACATTTTCTCGCAGTAAAAATTATCCTATATATTGACCCGGATAGCCAGCTATCACCGTACCAAATTTCATCAAAATCCTTCTAGTGGTTTTTCTGTGATGCGGTAACAGACAGACTGACAGACAGACAAAAATTCTAAAAACTATAGATTCGGCCTCTGTATCGATAATAATGCTTATTTCAATAAGATTTCCCAAAAAATATTTAATGTGCAGATTCGGCTTGGTTACAATTTTATTATATGTATAGATTACTTGATTTTTGATGAAAGCAAAGAAGGCGTCCAGGTTCAAAACCATAGTAAACACCACAAAATAATAATATAATCTACATGGATTATTTAATAAAATAATGCATACTAGCGTTCGTATAGCGATCGAAATTCCAACATAATCAATATGTAGAAAAAAGTAACTGTTTTAAAAAAAAATATATTAATATCACTAAAGCTCAACACGAAACAAAAAAAAAAGAAAATCGATTGACAACTGAAGAAGAAGGTACTGAACTGTATTTGCGTATTTATATACTGATAATAGCCATTCAATCTATATATAATCATCTGTATAAGATTCTTCATCAAAATGCTTTTAAAATTTTAAACTTTGGACTAATTCATATCCAGCGAAACATAATTAACCTATTTGTAATAGCGTAATTTACATAAGTACCTACTGGTATTGCTTTGATGCGAAATAATAATCTAATATCGCATATCTATTGATAGATTCTAAATTGCCATTTGCTTTGTAAATGAGGTTTGTGGATGCTTAAACGAAAATTTATTATTTTTTTTTGAAAAAAATCAAATTTTTGTTCGTGTATTTTGTCGCATTGTAAGTGCAGTGTTTCACACGTAAAAATCTAACTGAAGAGATACTGCCACACTCATAATATTAGTATGGATATTGATAAATTAAATTATTATTCAGCCCTTTTTAACGTCCCACTGCTGGGCACGGGCCTCCCTTCAGTATGAGGAGGATCAGGCCATAGTCCACCACGCAGGCCAAGTGCGGGTTGGCGGATTTCACATATCTTTGACTTAAAACTTGCTAGTTTCTTTAATACATGCATATTTCAACACGATGTTTTCCTTCACCGTAAGGCAAGTGGTAATCATGTTAGAAATTATTCGCACGTGAAAATATCAGATTTGCGAGACCCGGGATTTGAACCCGTTTCACTCGGTTTTCCAAACAAACGCGTTGCCACTGGGCTACCACTGCCCTTAAATTAAAATACTTTCGTTAAAAGAAATTCCACAAAATACTAGTTTTGCCCGCGGCTCTGTCCGCGTGATTAGTTAGGTTGGGATAAACCCTCAGTCCGTCTTAATGATGTAATCTATGTCCTTTCACATTATTAATATCGACATGGATTTTTTTCAATTTTATCTTTATCCGCCATATTTAAATAAAGAACATAAATAAAATATATTTCATTATCAATTTTATTCGAATAAAATGAATAAAATTAATAGAAGCAGTAAGCAATAAACGTGCCTGTATTGATATTACGTATAGGTTATATGAGTATGTATCAATAACACTTTATACTTTTTACCCATACCACATTCATAGTGCATACATACAAGTGGTTATGTTAGTAACTCACCGGCTACAAAAGCCAGTACGTCCCCATGTCAAAAGGGATCACTTACGTACGCATACAACCATGACGTCTCGACTAGTCAACCGAAGGAAACCTTCTGCCGAGCGATAAAACACTTTACACCCAGCCAAAGCTAGGGCAGGAAGCTTGTATATCACCAAAATATAATTATCACTTATTTCGTGATTTAAATTCGTATATAAAAGGCACGGGGACTGTGATTGCTTAGAAGCTGAGAGTTTGCGGTCGAACAATTTAAGTTTTTTCATTACAAAGTCACCACAATGTGATATTATTGGCACGACAGCAAACTTTTACAATACAAGATATTGGGTGAAATTAATAAACCGAATATAATTCCATTTAACTTTTCACTTAAATTTGAAAGCGAAAGTTTCTTCGTTAGGTACTACTTTTATTTATTTGACTTACAAAGATCAAACTCAGTCTAGAAGTACTGGAGTATTTGATTTAAAATGTTAAATATTTTAACAGATTTTCAAAGCAGATATTATATTAAAGACTTACAAGTAAACTCAATAATATTTACAACGAAGTTTTAAAACAGAATTCTCCTTGTTAAAAGGACCTTTAAGCCCTCATACAAACTTTCTTTTTTCTCCTAATTTACTATGCGACGTAAATTCACATACATTGGTAGATCGATAGTAACGCGCTTGCTTTGTAAAGGTATAGATATAGGTTCAAATCAACTACGGTTCTCGCATCTCTGATATTTTTATGTGCGAATTATTTTTTCTATTTGCCTTATGGTGAAGGTTAACTCCGTGTGAAAACCTGTACGTAAAGTAGTTTTCGAAAGACATGTGTAGTCCGCCAACCTGCAGTTGGTCAGCGTGGTGGACAACGGCCTGATCCTCCTCGTGTTAAGGAGTGGTCCGTGCCAATAATTTAGACGAGTTTTATATAGCCGTGTTAATTGTATGCTTAAATAATACACTTTTTAGACGTTTTATACATTTTACAGTAGAGACTTTTTTTCCTCTATTTTAAAAATAATGCTTTATTTCTAAAATTTATATAAATATGCAGAAATAGTACATTCTTTGGACTTTTTTAAAGTAAAAAGTGTATTTTATACCAATAAAATTGAGATTTAAAAATTAATAATTCTATATCAAAAACTAATTCGGTAAATTGGCCGTTTGGATAAATAAGTACTGCGACGACGATTTATTTGAGACCTTTTTGTTGCTTGCGCAAATTACTCGTAAAATAATGTTATAGTAAACTAGCATTGCCCGCGGTTCCACCGGCGTTCTGATGACCAAAAACCAAATTCTTATGTTTTACATATTAGTATACTCTTACAAAGCAGTTTTTATATTTTATCTCAGAAATGAAATATTTTCCCGGGGTAAAAAGTATCCTATATGTTGACCCAGATAACCAGCTATCACCATATCAAATTTCATCAAAATCCCTCCTGTGGTTTTTCTGTGATGCGGTAACAGGCAGATAGATTTGGCCTCTGTATCGATAATAATGTTTATTTCAATAAGATTTTCCAAAAGATATCTAATGTAAAAGCTTAGTTACAATTTTATTATATG